TAACAGGTGATGAAATTTACTTACCTTTTAAGAGAACTGCAAACGTACGAGGATGTCGTGGGTAGATCGCGGCAACCCAGCACATTGTAGCCGAAAGAGGACACGCACTTGACTTTGAAGGTTCTTCTGTGTATCTGGTGGTGGGACATGAGAGGTTTACTTTATTAAAAACTCCTAGAAAGCGATCAGACGGTGACGACGGAACCCTACAGCCGACATTTGAAAAAAAACTGAAGATTGAGTTTGCCCGTAATCAAGAAAACACTTGCTCAGATGACCAGAACCGATATCCGTTGTCTGACGCTAGAACTTACCTTCCCACGCTGCTGCAACACTAAACGAGATCTCATGGTGTGACCTTTTATCATCTCTAGTGATCTGTCAGAATTTTAACACTTGTAGCGGCCTAGTTTACCACTACCACAAAACCCTACAGTTAACAGGCGGTCACAATCCAGGTAGAGAGAAGACAACGAGTCGACAGAGAACGCGACCGTTTATTAGAGTCACGCTAGTCAAGTCACGTCGAGTGTATATTTCCTGTGTGTCTGTACAGAATAACAAGTGCGTTTGCATGTCTTCGCTAAGTATCGATCTCTGAACGCGCGTGGTTGCGTGAAGAGCATTCACGAAAATCGATTGAATCGTGTTCGCGCACGCTTGCTAACTGCATTCTCTCACCACTGCTAACTGTGCTCGCTTGCTGCTCGCCACACACACTTATGTCCTGGATCCCCAAAACTGGGCAAAGAACTCAATTGCAAAAGACCATTTACTGGGTTTGGAAGTAGGCAAGTCGTACCACTGCTGCTGCAAGACAATGATTGACCACCTCACGTTGTTCGCGTGACTCAGAAGACCCTCGTGAACTTGGGATGGGCTGTTCTGCCACACGCGGCGTAGTCACCAAACCCGCCTCCATCCGACTACCACTTGTTTTTGTCAATGCAGCAGCATGCCTCGGTGGGTAGACCATTTAAAACACTGGACGATGTGCGTTGGTTCGTCGTTGATGACATGATTGCCTCGAAGCAAGCAAGTGTCTTTCGCGACGGCATTCGTAAGGCCATGGAAGACGGTGGAATATATTTTCAAGATTAAGTTCGCTGTTCACCTTATTTTATATAAAATAATTTTGCTTAGAATCTGCACAATTAGACCGTACACCTCATTCTCCCAGTCTGGACAATTCGTGTGAAGGCTAACTTGGCACGATTTGTTGTCGCGTTGACCTAATTGCACCGTCATTTTATAATTCATGTCACAATCCGTGTCAATGGCTGTCTACAAATGATTAGTTTGCAAAGATATATTGCTAGTTTCTACATGAAATACTGTTTTGTATGAATCAGTCACAGTCGTTTTAGCGGTACACCGGCAGACCCACTTAGGTTTCGTTGTAAATGCTGCTTACAATCGGCAGTCGGGAAAGCACTAACCCCTTGTTAATGCGTCTAAATATGGGGGGGAGATATCAAGGCACCCGTGTCGGGATTGGTCTGTTTTTGGTGTGGGACGCAGCAGGCAGATGGCGCATTTTTCTCCTTCGGATGTGACCGTCCACAGCAAAACAAGAATCCCACAAATCAGACCTGGTGCGGGTGAAGGTCACTAGCGAACACCATAATGGGGATTGGAATCGTGCATGCTATGAGGTCGATTTAATCGAAGGGAATGCGCTTGCTGGCAAAGATAGAGGTACCAAGGGTTAGCTTCACACCTCCGACATAATCGATGCCGGATTGCATGTTCAGTCAGGATGAGTCATTCTTTCCTCCATGAAATCCGTCGCTCTTTATCGGGATTCTTGAACGATTCCGAAAATAGCATTCCAACTTAAGACTTGGTGATGATGGTTCATAGTTTTTATTGCCACTAACGATGTCAACTTTCGCCTAACTTCACAGAAAACAGTGCTGGCTGTTTTAACATAAACGAAAGTGATAATTTTTCGTTGTTAAGAAACTAAAAACCGTTAAGTAGACGTGGAAAACGAGTAGTGAATTAATTAATCAAGTAACAATTAAAGGCGCACCACGCTTACGTAACCTTGGCAGCATGGTATATTGTGGCCTTGGGGAAAAATCAATGGAAATATTTTTCGTGCAGGATTACCTCATTTAAAGTATTGCAGTGCCATGTTACTGTTATTATTCCATAACGCAAATAGTTTTCTTGACTTAATATTTGTACAGACGCATAAAAATGACCTATTTTCGAAAAAAAAGAGTTCAGAATGAACCAGAATGAATGAATGATGACGAGGCAGTGAAAAACTACGTGACAGGTCGTTGCTCTTACTATTTGTGTGGTCGCAACATGGTTATGCACTAAAAATAGGATTTAGTGGTGAAAAATCAGGTCTTGTAAGGAAAGCACTGGCATTCGCCTAAACATTCTAGGAAATTCTTCAAAACAGTTTCAGGCCGTATTTATTCACCCATAACTTTATTGATGCTTATCGACTTTTTGCCGCATTTACTGATCTGGAGCGCCCACTTCGCGGTCATTTAAATGTGGATCATCAGCGCGTCATGTACAATGCCAGATCGATTTGAATGTCAACTGAACGCAATTTTGATTGATTTTTAATCGTTTTTGAACACACTTATATCCCGGTATAATAAAATAAGTAGAGTTGATGGATTAATAGTTTAATTCAGTTGTTTTATAACTCAAAAAACGTTATTGCAGAGAAGAAGCCTTAAAGTTTGATGAGCCCATTTCTGGACATTGACTTCAGTTTAAATCTAAAAATAAGTCGACCTTTTTAGGCAGTCTTTGAGGTCAAAGGTGTGATTTAAAAAAATCAGATCGCATTCTGCCGTCTTTAGTTTCGAGAAGTGCACCAAACACTAGAATTTAGAGAAAAGTTTTTGACTCCCTGGGGTCCTGCGCCTCTTTTATTCGTCCAAAATTCCACCTGTATAAAAGCAAGGCAACTGTTAGAATATTTCAAAATCAGTTACTTACAGGGCTTGAAATCATCCGTCGAGTAAAAATCAATAAAGAGGTCTTGAATTTGTCTAGGCTTACCACTTAGTCTGTTTTCTGGCCAATCC